TTCTGGGGAATTCTGGGAGTTGAAGTCCACTCACTTTAAAGCATTTTTTCTGGGGAATTCTGGGAGTTGAAGTCCTCTCACTTTAAAGCATTTTTCTGGGGAATTCTGGGAGTTGTCGTCCATGCATCTTAAAGCATGCTGGCTGGGGAATTCTGGGAGTTGAAAATCTTGACGCACATCCACCTTCAGGTTTCCAAGGCTGAGAAACCCCACTCTAGAACCTTCCTGACCAACTTAAATTGCTTTATTAAAAGCAGGGTCTTCCAAACTCTTGAAATGGCACCTCTTTGCCATTTCAATCCCCTAAAATTCCTGCAATTACAGATTCTTCCAATTCAGCTCTGGACATAGAAGTGATACTGCTGGGCTTTGAGACAAGGTCAGCTTCCGGATCAATTTGTGGTTTTTTAAAATGAAAAATAGGTTTCTTGCGTACCTGTCGACGGCACAAATGTTAGGAACTGAAGCCTCGTCAGTGGAGCGAAGGGAAAACAATCGTCACAATGCAACGTTTCTCTCTTTGCCGGCAGGATCTCTGTGGACGCTCCAGCTGTGGTACTCTGGGCATGGCAGATGTGGGCACCGTGTGTGATCCGGCCCGCAGTTGTTCCATAGTCGAGGATGATGGGCTCCAGTCGGCTTTCACGGCGGCCCACGAATTGGGTAAGTGGGATCAGATCGACAGATACCCCTAATCTGGGTAAAGTAAGCGGCTTAACTCCAGTCAAATCAAACTGGGCTTTTATTGGACAGTTCTCCAGCTTGGAATAAATCAAGACAACCTCCTAGAATTAAGGAGAAATTTCCTCATAGTGAGGATAATTAACCAGTGGAACTGCTGCCTCCAGAAGTTAAGGGTGCTCCAACACTGGACTAGAACAGATGACCTCCAAGGTCCCTTCGGACTCTGACAAACTTCAGCAAGGTTTATTGTCAGAGAAAATGCCTATCAGATCACCACAGCTATAGATGGGGCCTGAGAGCATCATTGCTTTCCTCTTTGTCAGCGATCACCGTGAGAGAATTTTTTAGTGTCCTTATCAGACTGAAGTTCTCTCAGTGGTGTTAAAGCAAGGTGGAAAAACAAGATCAGTTTGTTTTGCTGGGATAGGAAGAGAATGAAAAAGAGGGAGAGAAAAGGGAGAAGGAGAGAGAGAAAGAGGAGAAAGAGAAGGGGGAGGAAGATAAGAGAAAGAGAAGGAGAAAGAGAGATAGAGAGGAGGAGAGAAAGATAGAGGAAGGGAAGGAGGGGAGAGAGAGAAAGTGGAGAGAAAGAGAGAAATGGAATAAGGAGAAGGAAAAAGAGAGAGAGAATGATAAAGAGAAAGAAGGAGGGAGAGAGAGAGAGGAGAGAGAAGGAGGGAGAGAGAGAGGAGCGAAAGAGAGAGAAAGAGAATGATAAGAGAAAGAGAAGGAGAGGGAAGGGGGCGGGGGAGAGAGAGCTAAAATCTGCTAAAATCAACACTTGGATAAATCATTCAAATATTTCCACAAACTTTGTTTCTGCTCAGTAAATCTTTAGTCCAGTGTATATCCAATATATTTACAATAATTCTTTCGTTCCTGGGTTTATTTGCTTGTAATCTTTGCCCGTCCCTTCGAAAGACCTCGAGGGGGGCTAGAAACTTGAGTTGAGGGATGGAAAAGAAAAAACAAACAAACAGAGCTGACTTTTGACATCCTAAGCCTCCCATGAGCGAACTAACGTAAACCTAACGTAAACTAAGGGCGTATCGCCCTGGTGGCCACAGGAGAAGATATGGAAAGAGCAAAATGGAAATAATCCTTCTCAACTCGCAGGTCACGTCTTCAATATGTTGCACGACGACGACAAACACTGCAAGGAGCTGAACCGTCAAAGCAATACCCGCCACATGATGGCCTCCGTCATGTCTCCGGTCAATCCTGACGAGATGTGGTCCCCGTGTAGCGGCCGCTTCATTACCGATTTCTTGGACAACGGCCACGGTACGATTTGGTCTCTCTTCTCGTCCGTATCTCACTCCTTCTTGGCCAACCGTTCTTCTTAACTGCCTCTTCCTTTGTAGTAGACTAGTTCTGATACTCGCTCTTTGCTACGAAACTATGTGGTCGGGCTTAGTTTGGGGAGAGGAAAATAAGGGGGGTGGGATTCTGCCTCTGCTTACCAGCATCCATCGATATTCATCTGGCTAGTGTCCTGTCAGTGTGTGAGAGAGTTGAGGGATGTTTGGAAACTGAAAGAATATTTGCTGCGTGAGCAAGGAGACAGCAAGGAGCCTTGGGCGTGGCTTAGCTCAACTGTTCTGGACTAAAGCTGCTTGGTGTTGTGAAACTGAAATTGAAACTCCTCTGCTTGTGTTTTGCATTGGGAAGAGATTTCTTTCCAGGTGGGAAGGGGGAGTAGAACTCCTTAGCATCAGAGCGTGTTAATAATAATAAAAATAATATAGGAAATAGTAATGCTCTGATGGTCATTTCGAAAAAAAAATCCTTTCTTAGTGAGCCCCTAGAAGCCAAGAGGAACATACATGCCCAATTTCAAGTTTGTAGGCTTTACAGTTCTGGAGATTTTGAGATGTGTATTATAGTATTTCCTATATTGTTATTATTAACACGCTCTGATGCTAAGGAGTTCTACTCCCCCTCCCCACCTGAAAAGAAATCTCTTCCCAATGCAAAACACAAGCAGAGGAGTTTCAGTTTCAGAGCACCAAGCAGCTTTAGTACAGAACAGTTGAGCTAAGCCACACCCAAGGCTCCTTGCTGTCTCCTTCTTGCTCACAGCAAATGCTGTTTCAGTTTCCAAACAGCCCTCACCTTTCTCACACACTGACAGGGACGCTAGACATATGAATACCGATGAATGCTGGTAGGCAGAGGCAGAATTTTTTCCCCTTATTTTCCTCCCCCAAAACTAAGCCCCACCACAAAGTTTCAT